GTGTCTGGCTGTTTTCCCAGGTGTTCTTTTTTCCTCCACAGGTTTCTCTCACTCGGAAATCTCCCAGTGTGGATTCCTGCCCACTAATCTGCTCTGCAGTTTGTTCTATTTCAGTTTTTAGACTAGGTAATACAGTCCTATAACTGAAAAGGTTAAAACCTGTTCAAAGGTATAAATTAAGAAGACTTATTCCCAACCACTTAGTTTTATCTACCCTCTTACGTTTACAGCTTCCAACATATTATTTTCTTATGTATCTTTCCAGTGATTCCTTGAACAAATGCAAGCAAAGCCACACATATGTTCTTATTTTTATTTCTTTTTTACACCTTTGGGATTATGGCTTTGTATCTGTCTAAATCAGCACATCAAGAGCTTCCTTTTTTTGTTTGCTGGTTGGTTTTATATGTGTGTGTGTGTGTATATATATATATAACCAGCAGCACAATTGCCATTGAGTTCATTTCTCTGGTCTGCTCTGAGCTTATTCCCTCCACCCTGCTATTGGCTTTTCTGAGGTGTTTCCAGGTGTGAACCAGTGTTTCTTCTTTGCTTCTCTATTTTTAGAGTTCTCCCAGTCATCATCTTCCTAGCAACTAACAGCATTTCCATCCCACTCCTGTGATGGAGATAGCCAGAGGCTTCCTCTTCCTCCCCCCCCCCCCACTTGCCGTCTACTCTAATGCACATGCGCCCCCCCCCCTGGCCGTCCCCTCTAATGCACATGCGATGGGCAATGGGCCCCAGCCGTCCTCGACGGCCCTTGGGGCAGCAGCTCACACCTGTTCTTTCTGATGATTAAAAACAGACGCAGAGGCACCTCTATTTGAATCTCTCGTCACTGGTAATTTTCATCTTCTTGGGAATAGGTGTGCTAGGGTGGCACCCTGAATGGGCCCCAGCCGTCCTCGACGGCCCTTGGGGCAGCAGCTCACACCTGTTCTTTCTGATGATTAAAAACAGACGCAGAGGCACCTCTATTTGAATCTCTCGTCACTGGTAATTTTCATCTTCTTGGGAATAGGTGTGCTAAGGTGGCACCCCAGGTATAAATGCAGATAGTTTAATTATAAACACCTGTTGACAGCAGTAGGCTGGCTGAGCAGGCACAAAGTTAGGTATTTCTTCCCTTTATTTATTTATTTTTAAATTCTATATTAGAATATGACTCTGTACTTGTTGTCTGATTGCTAATTTATGACCATGCAGGGGGAGTGAGGATTGGGAGCAGAAAAAATTCTGCTAAGCTCTCATTTGCAGGTCGGTCTACCATGGGCAGACCACTGACTTTAACAGAGGATTAGTAGTTTAATAGCCATCCCTCGTGTAGTGGGATGACTTGGGTGATACTCTGTTTTAATGCAAGTGTTAATGTTTTCCCATCTGCTTATTTGGAGCAAGCGTCTGGCCCCTGGATTTGGAGGTCTGCTCTTGGAGTGATCTATTCTGCTGCCAGCATGCCCACCCAGCTGGAGATGGCCATGGACACCATGATCAGGATCTTCCACCGGTACTCTTGCAAGGAAGGGGACAGATTCAAGCTCAACAAAGGGGAACTGAAAATGCTCCTGCAGCGAGAGCTCACGGAATTCCTCTCGGTGAGTCACAGTTTTCCCTCTTAAGTAGAGGGTGGCTGAGGTACAACTTCCGGGCCAGGCTTTATGTACATACCGGCTGCCATTCTGTCACAAGTGCAGAGTCATTTGTACTGCGATTCTAATATCGTGAAAGCAAAGACTAGAGACCTTTGTCTTCTGTAGACATGGGGCATAGGCATGTGCCGTTTTCCATATTGCCTGGGGTTAGGGTCTCCAAGTGTTGAAAATTGTAGTTGAAGTTTTCATCAATTACTCAACATTCAGGTCTAACAATGAAAGATAGTTAGTGATTCCAGGAGTGCTAGTTATGACTAGTTATAGCTAGTGATACCTGGAGCTCTGACCAGTTATCTGCAAACTAATAATATGTATTGGGCCAGAAAGGAAGCTTGGGATAATTTATGCTGTGGTGACAATATTTTTTAGTGAATGACAAATACAAACACAAGTTGATTGGGGTCGATGAAAAGAATGTTTTTGGCCAGGAACAAGTGGGTAGCAAACAGACTCAGCTCTCCAAATAGCCAAGAATTCAAGAAATTTATATATGAAGGCTTACAGCGGAGTGATCTGGGCTGCTCTGAGCAAAGCGCTTTACTCTGCTGTTTAAGGAGATGCCCAGAATTGGTTTTTAATGTATTATCCTACCCTGGCATGATGTTATTCTATCCAAATCTTGTATTAAGACTACCGCAACTGTAATTAGGGAATTCTTTTCCCTCTTCCCTCTACAGGAAAAGTTTAATGTAAAGCAATTTTAACATACAAAGTCCTCACAATATCCCTTTGATGATTTCAGGAGTCCCCAGAAACTTTTAGGTTATTTTCATGCTTACTGTATTATATATTTAGAATAAAAAACTCAGTAGCTTGAACTTAGCACATTAATTTGTTCAAAAAATTTATAATTGTTTCAATCAAGTTGATTTTGATCAATTAAAGTTTCCAACTATTTAATGGTTAGCAGCTAATGAGAGGGCGATGGGGAATTCCTGGCGGAAATGAAACTGCTTTTGGAAACTTTTCTCATCACCCACTAATCCAGGGAGAGGCAGGTCTTCACAGTCACACCCCTCAGAATCTGATCCCGTCCATGGGTTCACTGTTCTGCTTTCCATCCATGCAATGCAGTCAATCTTGAAGACCTACTCTTCACTGTGGGCCTCCTTCTGTGTATCCAGAATTACACTATGTAGGGCTGGCCAATAAGTATTCTGTGTCCCATACAATACTTGGGACATACTTATCAAAATAATTGTTGTTTATCTCAAGTTCATATTTAACTTGCTGTTTTGTATTTTTATTGGCTTAATTTGGCAACCCTGGGACTAAGTACTTTCACAAAAGTGTGTCTATATATCTCCAAAAATGTGCAGATAGACATTATTCACCCCATTTTATAAATAAGCAACTTTTGCAATGCTAATTGTTTTTACATTTCTTCCAAACCTAACCTATAGAGATTCAGCACTTTCTCTTAATATGTCATCCCTAGCATTCATCTCCTCCAAGACTCCAGTCCCTAATAGACTCTGAGATTCTTTTTTATTTTAATTAATTTTTTAAGAATTATTTTATTTAACTTTGTTTATTCATTTTAATTTAATCAGTGAGGGACAGAGTTAGAGAGAGAGAAAGTGAGAAAGCAAGCCTCCAGGCATCACCCACTAATCCAGGGAGAGGCAGCACTTCACAGTCACACCCCTCAGAATCTGATCCCGTCCATGGGTTCACTGTTCTGCTTTCCATCCATGCAATGCAGTCAATCTTGAAGACCTACTCTTCACTGTGGGCCTCCTTCTGTGTATCCAGAATTACACTATGTAGGGCTGGCCAATAAGTATTCTGTGTCCCATACAATACTTGGGACATACTTATCAAAATAATTGTTGTTTATCTCAAGTTCATATTTAACTTGCTGTTTTGTATTTTTATTGGCTTAATTTGGCAACCCTGGGACTAAGTACTTTCACAAAAGTGTGTCTATATATCTCCAAAAATGTGCAGATAGACATTATTCACCCCATTTTATAAATAAGCAACTTTTGCAATGCTAATTGTTTTTACATTTCTTCCAAACCTAACCTATAGAGATTCAGCACTTTCTCTTAATATGTCATCCCTAGCATTCATCTCCTCCAAGACTCCAGTCCCTAATAGACTCTGAGATTCTTTTTTATTTTAATTAATTTTTTAAGAATTATTTTATTTAACTTTGTTTATTCATTTTAATTTAATCAGTGAGGGACAGAGTTAGAGAGAGAGAAAGTGAGAAAGCAAGCCTCCAGGTCCAGGACTTGAACTGTAGTCGGCTCTGTGGCAGCCTAGAGCCCTTAACCACCACACCACCTGCTGGCCCCAGACTCTGAGATTCTTGGCATCAAATATCATGAACTGTTTCCATACAATACATATATTTTTTTAAAAAAAAATTTACTTAATTTTATTTATTCATTCATTTATTTTAATTTGACCAGAGAGAAAGAAGGAGAGAGAGAGAAAGTCAGAAAGCAAGCCACCAGGTCTGGGACTTGAACCATGGCCGCCCATGTAGGAGTGTTCAGCACCTCAACCATCATGCAACCTGGCCCCCTCCATACAACACATATTGAATAAATGAATGAATGAATATAAAAATAAAAACTGTGAAACAACTAAAAAACCTACACAAGTAGACAAAAGTAAACTAATACAACCTAAGTGAAAAAATAAGGAATCCTAAAATTAGTCAATCAAGCTATGAAAAGCTATGTTGCAATTTAAAATGGAAAAACTACTCCTGCCAAGAAAATGAAGGCAACTCTCTGTGAGTTGAAGGTGAGTAGATGCAATATTCTGTTACTGGGGGGTATTGGCAGCCCATCCCAGTTAGGAAGGTGTCTAATATGAAAGCAATGTATTTATTTTAAAAACTCTTAATGATGTGCTCAAAGCCCCATTGTTGGTAAATGTGTAGCCACTCACTGTCCTTTTTGGCTTCAAAGCCTCCCTTTCTCCATATCACCCAACTACCTACCTGCCAGTGCCCCTGGCCGTCCACCTGGGACGTCCTGGAAATGCATTTTCAGAATCGGAGCTCACTTAGATCCTCTGCAGTTTGCTCTTCTTGCTCTGTAGGTCAGAACCTGCATAATGTGGACCTGTGGCTGGGGGCTGAATTTATGCCTGCTCAAACCTACTTGCACATAGGCTCTTGGAAATTGTCTTTGATGTTAAAAATGGATATTAGAACTTTAATACAGAGGAAAGGAAGATGTGATTTCAATTGTCATCATGAACTCCAAAGCCCAGGGTTAGAAATCTTCTTTTCCTTTCTAGTGCCAAAAGGATCCTCACTTGGTTGATAAGATAATGCAGGACCTGGATGCCAATAAGGACAATGAAGTGGATTTTAACGAATTTGTGGTCATGGTGGCAGCTCTGACGGTTGCTTGTAATGATTACTTTGTAGAACAATTGAAGAAGAAAGGAAAATAAAAACAAGTAGTAAGTTCATCTGAAGGCACAAATACATCCAAAGTTATTTACTTAATTCATCTATACCTGTTGGGACCATAGACAAAGTCATGTCATTTATAGATATATATATATATATAATTAATTGCTCGTATTATTGAATGATGTGTACCTTAATATGTTGACTTTATGTAATTATTTCATATCTTAAAGTTGTCCTCTTTTGAAATTTGACCGATGATCTTATATGCATTTTTTGGGGTCTGTCAAAAAGGGTGCATCACAAAAGATTTAGCCACTTTCAAATGAGACTAGAACTTAGCAAATTGCCAAGGCAGATATTCTTAAATGGTATTTTGAACTTCTTACTCTATTAAAGACATAAACTGGCCCTTCTCATATCCTTGTGATTCTGCTTCAAATGGAAGGAGCTGTGACGGTGTGAGCGAAAAACACTGCTGAATAGAAGTGTTGGCTTCTTCAGAGTTAGCTCAGGGGAATATGGGTGGATCCAGGGACGTGTGCTCGAGCAGAGAGAGCTGATGGCAGCAACTCCTGGGGACTGCTGGACAAGCACCTGCCCCGACCCGTGGGTTGTGTTATCTGGAGCCAAGTGTTTTACAACGTTTCCCAGCGCCTCCCCTGGAATGAAACTTCAGTAGGTCTCAGAGGCTTCTTCCCTTCTTGGTCTTACCTTTTCCTCTCACCCTGTGTTTCCTGCACCTCTCAAATAAATGACTTGCGTACAAATCCTCAACTTGAGGTCTGCCTCTGGGGGACCTCAAACTATGACTGAGCCTTTGGCCAATTATTTTTTTTTTTTTTTTTTTTTTTTTTTTTTTAGATTTCTGCCATAGAGCACTATACTCACCAGAGGGAGATAGAGACAGAGAGAGGGAAAGTGAGAAAGCAGCCCCCAGGGGGAATGGCAATACTGCAATCCTCCTCCATTCTCCTTTCAGGATTTTGGGCATGCATGCACATGCACCCAGGGTGTTTTTCAGGCTGCTGGGTCCAGGACTTGAACCATGGAGTCAGTCATGTGGGAATCCAGCATCTTAACCAGCTTTAAAATCACACTGGGTGCATGTGGGTATATGCCCAAAATCCTGAGAGGAGAATAGAGGAGAAGGGATTGTGGCATGGTCATTCCCCAGAGGGGGTGGTTTCTCACCTTTCCTTCCTCTGTCTCTCTCTGGCAAGTGCACACACCCTGTAGCAAAACCCTTAAAAGAAAAAAGAAAGAGAAATATAATTGGATTTACAGTTCAAATGATTAGCCTAACTTCTTTGTAAAGAAAGGACCACAGAGAGGGCAGTAAGGAGAAGGGAGAGCAGTTAGGGCTGTTGCTGTGGTCTTGGTAAGAGACTGGAATCTCAGGCCAGGATTTCAGCAATAGAGACGAAGGGAAACAGTTGAATTGAAGTATTCTGGGACTGGGGCTATGACCGTACTACTATAGTACTAATGGAAGAGAAGGTTTGGCTATTTCTTGGGGGGACTTATGGGACTTACGGGTTGCTGGTGAAGTCCCAGAGCAGCCACGGCCATTTGCCTCTCTGATGTCTGTTCTGTCCTTCCTCTGTATGTCAGAACTCAGTTTTTTGAGGGTTCTGACATATAGAAGAGGGAGGATAGCAATGCGCCCAGCTGAACATCTGTATTTCCCAGTCTCTTTTAGAGCTGACACAGGGCTTATCACAAAGGTTTGAACAATGAATGATAAACAGATCCTACTAGAAATGTATGGAAACCTTTTGTGATTTCTATATAGGCTTTATGCCTTCCACCTTAATTCCTTCTCTTTCTTTCCACTGGAATGTAGATGTGAGTCTGGGGGTGGGGCTGCCACCTTGCAGCCATGAAGACAGTGGAGAAGGAAGATAGAAGGAGCTTGGGACACGGTTGTCATTGAGGAGCCACTGCACAGCCCTGACGGACTGCCTTTGGTCCTCTCATTATGGTTTAAAAAAAAAGACAGCTCTCTGGTTAGGTTGGTTCTGTTACATGCAGCCAAATATAATCTCTAAGTGTTTAGATTTTTGGTCAAGCAGATGATGCAATTTGCTAAATGGGGAAGACTGAGGAGGGACATCTTTGGTGTGGGGGCATTGGAGGGAAGTCAGTAGCTCTGTTTAAAAGGCTATCAGGCATCTTAGTGGAGATATCCAACAAGAAGTTGGATATATGAGCTAGTGTAGAGTTTGTGGTAAAAAGGAAACTGGAGATACAGAGTTGGGGGTTATGAGCACCAACGTGGTCTTAGGCCACAGAACTAGAGTCACTTAGGATGAGCATGTAGACAGGGAAGAAAAAAAGCTCCAACAGTTAGCTATCGGGAAAGACAGGGCAGAAAAACTGCAACGGTTAGTTATCAGCAAGTGACCCAGCAAAGGCGTGGCTGGGGAGATAATAAGAAAACCAGGTATGATGCTTCAGAAGCCTACAGAAGAAAGTACTACATCTGGGGATAAAAAGGGGGTAAAATCCACTGAGAGAAGAAGTAAGATGAGAACAGAGAATTAATTGACAAGGCAAATGGCAAGGTAGAGATCTTCTGTGACATCAGTGACACTGCTCTGCTTTGTTAATAAAAGGGCCTCTCTGTCTCTGTGGTAGGTGGTAGGTGCTTAGTACATCTTTGTTTAATGAACAAATGAAAGAACCAACCAATGGTTGACTTTCTGGTGCTAAGGCCTGTCATTTTTTTTCCTTAAATAGAACAATAGTTTTGTTCCCTTCAAACCAGTAATGAGCAGATAGAGCAGAGAACATTTAGAGGGTAGAATATTTCTTTCCTTCTTTTCTTTTTATTTATTTATATATTTATTTATTTTTGCCAGAGATATGTGTACTTACCAGAGAGAGACAGAGAGACTGAGAGGGAGAAGGATGTGGTCATGTCTCAATCCCTCTTCCTCCATTTCTCTATCCTATCAGGATTTGGGGCACCCATGTACACATGCTGGGCTTATTTTTGAAGCCACCAGGGCCAGGATTTGAACCCTGGTCAGCCATGTGGAATCTAGCTCTCTTTACCAGTAGGCCATGGGGCTGACCTGAGAAGGCAGAATATTTAGGAGACCCATAAACCATTGCTATGTACTTGTTGCTGTCTTCAAAAGGTTAGAAGAAAAAATAAGGAGAAAAGTGGAACACAAAATTGGAATGTGTTTAGGTTCTTTGCTTATAAATTAATATACTATTCATGCAAGAGAAGGTCTATTTCTTAGAGGCCTTTCCATTTTCCATTTTAATTTGACCCAAGGTTTATTTTCTAAAATGGGTCACAGAAACATGAAATCCAAAATCTTCCTCACGTTCTATTCCAGGAAGGACATTCTCAACATAGAGAAATAAATGAAAAAACCATGTTCATTTCATAGTGTTTCTAAAAATCGATCGAAAGTGGGGAAAAGCAATTTATGTCTCAAATTAGATTTCAAATGAGTAAGAATTACATGATGTACCCAAAGTTCTTTTTCTCGTAAAAGAGAGGCTATTTTTTGGTGTGTGTTAGGTACACACAATAATTTTGTAGGAGGCAAAATTGATTCTCGTGCTCAGGAGCCCTGGCCTTTGCATTCGCTAGCGTTTAAATACACTTGAAGTTTAAACAACATTCAAGGGCCACGTCTGAAGGAGTGCCTTCTAATGTCGGACATTTCCTGCTGTGGTGAGGAGGGAGAGCCGCAGAGGGAGACAATAGCCTAGGTTGGCTTGAGATCCTGGTCTGAGCTGAGCCGGCAATGCCAGTAACTAGAAAGCTTAGACCGAACCCAACCAAATCTTAAAATTTAACCTTGGAAATAGAGACTTTTCTCTTCCCCCCAGGGGTAGTGGGGTCAGGGAAGGCTTTCCAGAGACAGAGCCTTGATAAGGCAAAGCAATGGGGCAGATTAGTAACGGAAAAGAGAACACGGCCTAACCTGCGCCTCTATGACACAGCGGGGTCTGTTAGGGAGAAAGCTCTGTTGGAGGCAGGCTCTGGGTTGACTGTCCCCTCTAGTACTCACACTGGAATGTCATTGCCGTTGTAGCAGTGTTGAGAGATGAGAACTCTAAGAAGTGAGGTCATAAAGGCTCTCCTCTCATGAGAGGAATACTGTTACAGAAGGAGTGGGTTAGTTCGCAGGAGTGGGCTTTTTTTCTTTTTTTTTTGTTGTTGTTGTTTTTGTTTTTGTTGTTGTTTTTGTTGTTGTTGTTTTTTTAGTTTTCCTATGGCACACATGTGCTTTCCAGAGAGACAGAGAGAGGAAAGTGAGAAATCACCCCCCTACACACCCCCATGGGGAATGGCCATGCTGTAATTCTTTCTCCTCTAGTCTCCTCAGGATTTTGGGCAGGCACACACATGCACCAGCATGATTTTTAAGCTGCTGGGTCCAGGACTCAAACCACACAGTAGGCCATGTGGCATTCAGTGCCTTAACCTCCACACCACCAGTTGACCCAGGAGTGGACTCTTGAGGAAAGGATGAATCAGCCCATTTCCTCATCTCCAACATTTTACTATAGCAGTAGAAAATGAACTAAGATGGGGCCCCTGAAGGTGTGGGGATTAGGAGAGGAGATAGAACTGGACTTTGAAAAAACCATGGGTGCTAGTGTAAGAAATTTGAAATTAATCCTAAATGTCATGGGTACCACTATATAATTTTTAAAAATAATAATTTTTGTTTATTCAATTTGACCAGAGAGAGACAGAGAGGGAGAAAGGAAGCTTCTAGGTCCTAGACTCGAACCATGGTTGGCTATGTGGGAGTCCAGCACCTTAACACTACCTGCTGGCCCCAACCATTGTAGATTTTTTTCCCTTTTTTTTAGATTGCTATAGGGTGTGTGTGCTCACCAGAGACAGAGAAAGAGAGGGAAAGTGAGAAGTCACCCTCCAGGGATATGGCCATGCCACAATCCCTTCTCTATCGGTCTCTTGGGACTTTGGGCAAACATACATATACCCAGTGTGATTTTCAGGCAGCCAGATCCAGGACTCGAACTTGCTGTTGGCCATATGGGATCCAGCTTCCTTAACTTCAATGCCATCTGCTGGCCTCACATTTTTTTTTTCTTTTTTACTTAAAGCAGTTTTATTTAGTTCTAAATATTCTTCTAAAAGTTTTTTAAGCTTTACAGCAGTGGCAGTGGTTTTGTTTGTTTGTTTGTTTTTTTAATTGCTGGAGGGCACATGCATCTGCCAGAGGAAGTGGAACATGGTCATGCTGCAATCCCCTCTCCTCATTTCCCCATACCACTGGGATTCTGGACACACATGAGTGCACTGTGTCCTTCAAGCCATCAAGACAGTACTCAAACTTTGGTGGTCTGCGTGGGATCCGACTCCCTTAACTATTAGGCCCTGGTGCTGGCCAAAAAACATTGTTTTCTTTTTTTTGTTTGTTTTTTGAGAAAGATTTTTGCTATAGGGCATGTGCACGCACTGGACAGAGAGACAGAAAGCAAGAAATCTCCCTCCAAGGGGCGCCATGCCACAATCCCTTCTCCTTTTGGGATCTTGGGCACGCAAGCACATACACCCAGCATGAGGTTTTTTTTTTTTTTTTTTTTTTTTTTGAGGTTTTTTTCATAGGGGGCGTGGGTGTGACAGAG